TTAGAAATTATCTGCGGTTAATTTCCATATTTGGTTAGTGCGCGCCGATTCCGCCGATTGAATTTCGAACAGTGGTTGGTTTGGTCTAAAGACCTCCTAAATTTTGGGCAAATTTTAAAAGTATAGAGGTCACTTTCTGTCCTACCTTTTAAAAAAAATATCTTCATTAGTTGTAGTTGACGGTAGGTCTTTAGTTTTGATGTAATGAAGAGATTTCTCAAAAAAAAATATAGTTCGAGTTCTATTCTTTTTTGAGCTATTACTAAATTTAGACTAATTTTAGGACATCATCACTAAATTTAGTCTAGTTTACTGCCATCATATCTAAATTTGGCAATAAGGAAATTAAATGAGTCTTCACGCGATTTTGGTTTTAAATTTTTTGAAAAATTTTAAATCGCCATTTTTGAAATTTGAACGCGTGGCTTAGCAATAGAAAGTCTTTAGACTGAACTAACCATATAAAACTTCATTTTTTTCTAAGCAAACAGGCCTGATATTTTCTCTAATTATAATAATTATGTTGTAAATTAATATTATGTAAATAACACAATTTCGGTCGAATGACCTCGGAAGCAGTTTTCAATTTTAGACTTGCGCAAATTATTTTAAAAAAGTATCCGACCTACGATCCTCCATTTTTTTTTATTAATATTAAGCAAACAGGGTTTAATGTTTTCATTAATTATGATCTTTGTAAACAACACAAATTTGGTCAGATGACCTCAGAGACTGTTTTTGCTTGAAAAGGTCCAAATAAAGTTATTAAGAATTATATCTGCAGATTTAATGACAATATACTTTTTATAGAGAGATAAAATGAAAAATTAGGATATACTGTTGTGCGTGTGAAATTCAAATTAGCCAATCAGAACTTTGCATCCAAGCACAAATGATTTTTACAAAATATAATATCATCACAGTTTGCTGGCACAAAAAAAAAAATTTATCCAACGAAATTTCTGTTTTCTCTTTACAGCCTCATGTATATTGTAGTCAATTTTCATGGTATCTGCGTCATCTGAAAAAATTGTAATTAACCAACTCATGGCAACATTTATTATTAGCAATTTCTTTTTTTTATATTTATATTAAACATCCACGACCAATTATCACAAAAAATTCACAAAAAGGAAGCATCTGTTTATAATGAGAAAGCATCTATCTAAACAGCAAGCAGTATACGCAGATAGTTGGTACCAATACATTTCCTGTAGTTTAACTTAATACTAAAGGTACACTATCATCAATTGCTGTTCCAATTCATTTGAGCTGGATGTAACTTTCCAAACTGAGTCTGAGAAACCTTGATTTCCTTTTTAAACTAATCGTTTATTTCATCTTTGCTTTCATTTTGATGGTCAGAGAACTCATATATTTGTTGTAAGTAAGGATCTCATTTAACAAGTTTCAACACCTGGTGGAAAGTATAATGATGAAACTGGTGAAATTCTTCAATTTAGTTTCACCAACATTCATAGTCGTAAGGTCTGTTACAAAGATCCATCAGTAAGTTCACACCATTTATATATGCGTTAATTGACATAATAAAGCAAGAAAGCAAAATATTGACGTGTTTCTAATACTAAAGACTGTGTTGATTTCATTGGCTAAATTTTTTTATTGATCATTATTTTGTTATTTACTTTTCATCAAATCACTAGCTATTCTTGTGTATTGTATTGTTTGATTTATCACGTGGATTGCCTATTTTTTAAATGAGTGGTATAATTTTAGTTTCATTTCCTGGATTTGAGTTCCCGTAAATTTTTAATGAAACCTTTTTTGGGGATACTAAAAAGAAAAGAAATATAAGTAAAAGCCCAATATCTATTTTTAACAACCCATTTAAATGGTTATAAATCCACAGTTTATATATAGGATTGTTATTTATGTATACAATTAATAACGGTTCTACTGAATATGGAAAGGAGGTTACAAAAAGAGTCCAAACCGGAAAAAGACGTGCTTCTAATGGCCCAACTTCTGGAATGAATGGGTGGTGGTGGATCAATAAGTATTAGCAATAAAGATCGTATTAATAAGAGAACGAATCATAACATACCT